ATGTGTGGTAGACTTGTTTGTTCTACGATTTTAATTATTCAGTATTTAGGGCAGAAGGAGGACCGTGTGCTCGCAGTGGTCACAGAATGGTACTTAGCAAACGTCATTTGGTATTATTTGGCGGATTTCAGGATAATACTCATAACTATCAATATTTTAATGATTTATATGCATTCAGTCTGGCTGATTATAAATGGAAAACTATAAAAACTTCTGGTATGGTAATGTTTGTGTATTTTTTTATTTAAAAATTATTATAAATTATTTTTAGGACAAGCACCTTCACCAAGATCTGGATGTCAAATGTTTGCTCTAGAAGATGGTAGAATTGTTGTCTATGGTGGTTATTGTAAAGAAAAAGTTAAGAAAGATTATGACAAAGGAACAATTCTAATTGATATGTTTATATTAACTCCTGAAAGTAAGTTAAAATTTTAACCAAAAATAAAGTGATCAGTAAAAAATATATATGTCTTTTAATTTTAAATATTAATTAAAGGTTATTGATAAGTTACTAACAATAGTATGCTCATTCTACAACATTCCAGCTAGTATTCAACTATCCAAGTATAGATATAGATGTAACTAAAAAGGATTCTGTTAAAAACATGTCAAAGATGATAAAAAATAATAAAATAGAACTAAGATTTAGTTTTACTATTAAATATTTCTTTTTCCATAATTGTCTTTTATAAATACACAATGAGATGATGTCAAAGCATTATTATATTACTCTTTTTGACCCAAGTATAATAAAGCAAATTCATAGATCAGTAGAACCTAGATGACATTCATTCTATAGTTGAACCATCCTTATGTTGTTAGCTTTAGTATTTTAAGTGAATTGAACTATTTTCAAATTTAAATTTAAATACATCTGTGACCTTACCCCTTACTTATATTTTTGCAAATTATGATACAAAACATTATACATTTAAATATTATAATTTATAAGACAGCTAATAATATAGTTAATGATTTGAATTTTTAGTTATTGTAATAAGTCAATTCATTCTAATACTAAATCTTAACAAAACTGATTTCGTTGAATTAAAATTTTCTATATTCTATATGGGTCAAAGAGAGAAAATAAATAATGCACAGACATCCTCTCTCTTTATCTGAAATTGCTGTATTATTTATGCTATATAATAAAAAATATAATATACATAATCCATTTTTTTAAATTAAATTTTATAGAAGGTGATACAGATTTTTTGAATTGTCGTTGGTCAAAAGTGAAACAAGCTGGTTCTTTACCAACTGCTCGTTGTAGTTTATCTGGTTCACCTATTACTGGACATAATAAAGCATATTTATTTGGTGGTGTTTATGATGAAGAACAGGGAGAAGATGATTTAACTAGTACATTTTATAATGATTTGTACATGTTAGATATGGAACAAAATACACCCACTTGGAGATTAAGTATAAAATATTTCTAATAAAATAATATAAACATAATTACTTTAATTGGTGATTATATTTAGTTTCAGTCAAAGAACAACCAAACAAACTAGACTCTGAAGTAGCTCAATGTTTGGTAAATTCAGAGACGCCTACTCCACGGTCACATAGCGGATTAGCATTTAAACATAATACTTTATTTGTTTATGGTGGAATTGTTGAAAAGGGCTCAAAATCGTTGACACTCAATGATTTTTATTCATTAGGTAAGAATAGTATTTTATAATTTTAATAAGTTTAAAATATTTGAATACTTAATTTGCATTTAAATATGAATTTTAGACATCAAAAAATTAAAAAAATGGAATATGATTTGTAATGATGATATATTGAAAACCGTAACTTCTGACTGTAGCTCTGATGATAGTATGTCAACCAGTGACTCTTCAGAATCTTCTGATGAATCTGACTCATCAGAAGATGATCAAATGGAAACTGATTAATTTATTTAAATTGTTACTATCATGGAAATAGTTTATAAAAAATATAAATTCTTTGAAATCATAAGAAAACTATAGTTTACTTATTATGTATGATATGTTTATGATGATGATCTATTATTTAAAGGTTAATAATGAAGAAATTAAAACATTAACAAAAAAAAAAAACCATTACAAAATTAAAAAATTGATTGTTTTTTGATTTTAAATTTATGATCTTTTCTAATTTCCCAATTTTAAATATTGTATAAGTAGTAATATTAAACCAAAAAAAATCAGTGGCTATGAATAACAGTTTTGTTTAAGTTTAGAATATTCTATTTAGTTTTTATTATATATCACATTTTAATTTTAATACAGATTTGTACCAATACTTTTTTTTCAAATAAATTAATACATAAACAGTATTTAAAAATAAACTTAACAATAACACAATATATCTTACAAAAATAAAATATTTTAAAATTAAACCGTAAAAAATAGTTTAAAAAAAATAAATTATTATAGAAATAACAGTATTTAGGTAACAACACACACACACACATTCATTTTTAGTTAAAATAGACAAATTGGAATTAAATATAGATATATTTTTTAACATTCAATAATACTATTTGTTTTTTTTTTTTTGTTAATAATAATTGCAAGTGTATTACTTAAGAATTTGTGTCAATTGAAATAGTTACTAAGTGTTAGTTTTTCAAAATATATTGTACAATCATTTTATTTTACACAGTTATCTGTAGTATTAAAATTAACCTAATATGATACATGTAAATAGCCTGTCAAAAACAAGTAAGAATGACGATGAACTAAATTTTATATCAGAATAACTAAAATGGAAATTTTTTACTATGCTATTACTTATTTATAGATGTTCAGGTATTTCAACCAATGATGTTTCCATTTGTAAATCACTAGTATTTAATGATAAGGAGCTGATTGTTAATGTTGATGGAGGAACTGAATTACTAGATCTCCAATGTGTAAATGGAAAAAATGATCCAATGTTAGATGGTGTACATACTTCTTGAGTATCCTTAGAATCATTATCACTCATATTTATTAGTGTTCTGACTGCAAAATCTTCCTAAGACAAAAAAATTAAAAGTATTTTATTTTAATAGTTAATTAAAATTATTTTAAAAGTAAACATATAAATAAAATTTGATACTTACTAATGGTTTACCTCCATTTGATATTTCTAGAGTAGGCAAAAACCTATAGTAACATTGTGTCCAAATACTAAGACACGAAATTTCTGTTGATACTTTTAATAGATCGTCTTTAACTTTAGAGGCATTGTAAAGAGGATTATGAAATTGGATTAAATCATGGTCTTTAAACTGTTCTTCCCAATCCCATATTGAACGTAACATCAGCGGACTAACATCCTAAATAAAATTATTTTATAAGCTAGAAGTATTGAGAATTAAATAAAATATCCAAACCTTAGTAGCACAATGACGATCTCGTTCACAATCAAATAAAAACGTATCAAATATAGAAATATGTGATGCATCCCAAAGGGTAGTTAAGTAGGTCTCAGTAAATTCAAATTTTGAAGGAAATTGTTGAAGTAGTTGCCATACACAATCCAAAAATAACAATAACAATGGTGACTGCAAAATATCATTAAGTAAAAGTTATGATGTTAATATTCATGAAATTATTGATACAAATATTTGACAATGAAGTTTACTTTTGAGTTTTGCCAATCTAATGGCTATCAATTAATATAAAATAATCAACATTAGTAAATACAAACATAAAATACTATTACCATTTCTATAATTTGTATTTTAATTTGAATATTCAATATTAATCTAAAAACACTTAAATTTAAATAATTGTAGAATTGTAAAGTTAAAGACTAACAATAATTTTAGTTTTAAACTTAATAATATAATTTTGTATAATAAATGTAATTATTTTATTTTTTATGAATTTATTATTAATTCACATGTTTTTTTATTTTTTAATCTCGCATTTCAATTACAATTTATTAATGTTATATTAATCTGCATTGCTTATCCTGGGAAGTTCAGTAACATGTAAATATAGGTTTTCATCCACTTGAAGAGATTGTAGAAAGTATGGTTCAGCATTATAGTCAACAGAAGTGTATACCAATTTAATTGGGCTAATAAAATTTATAAAACAAATAATAAACATATTCACTGATACCAAAACATTTTAGGTAATAATGATTATACCTATATAAATAAATGCACATAGCCATCCAAAATGGTTATAAACTTGGAAACTACTGAACTAAATGATACTTAATTTTACTAACATATCCTTTCAGATTCAAAGTCTAAAAATATATATTTAAAAAAAAAAAAATGACTATAATGAGCTTGGGCCGTAAACCAGATGTTACTGTTTTTATAGCTTTGTTAGTTAGCTCCTATAAATTACTACAGTATTGTTATTGGTTACAGATCATTTGTAGCTGATAAAATCTAAAAACTATTCAACTGACTAGTGAAAATTTCAGAAATAATAATATTAGGTAAGTTTATAATGGAGTATAACACTATGACTAAACAAAGTTTGAATATAAAATACACCTAGTATAGAATTGCTATCCAATATGGTAGGATTGCAACACCTGGGAAGTACAACACCGATTTATACACGAACTGAGTTACGCTAAAACCAAGATATAGCGCCTTATTTTTTAAATATTTATTCATTTTTTCTGGGCTAATTAAGTCGTGTTATATAGCTAGATTTATATCAAATATAATATTTTTATAAATGACATGTAATAATTATAATTAATAATTACAAAAGTGCGATGTCGCAAAATTGGGTTGAAGACTACATGCCTACACAGCTTAGTGATCATAACGATTGTAATTTTTAACTCAAGTTCGGTAACTAATGCAGATTATAATACGATACATAGATTTTAGTCATGTTAGTAAATAGACTATAAATCATTTAAAGCCATATGATAAAATTTGAAAATTTGATTTATTCATTATTAATTCTATTTATCCACCAAAAGTCAAAAAGTCAAAAACAACAAAACAAAATTGAAAATATTGTTATTGTTTGTTTAAAACTTTCATCTTCTAGAAATCTAGAAGGTAGATAGCTCTAGTAGTTTAAATAAAATTATTATGATGTAAATAATAGTATAGTAAATAACAATATGTTTTTCGGTGTATCGTCACCAAGGTTTAAGATAGTGAAGTGTAACAGTGATAATCGCTAGAACCATAGATAATAAATATAAACATAGATGACCATAACTCGCACGGTTAATAGAAATATCCATTAACCGTACATAATTCGTAGGTATCTTCTGTAATCAAATTGTATCCTATCAACAGATAACAATTAAAAGTTAATACTTAATTTTCATATTTATTTTAATTTATATTATTTATGTTAACAATTCACATCTTACAATTAAATTTAATTAAGTATCGAAGATTGGAGGTAAATCATAATTGTAGTTTATTTTTTTATCTTGAGTTAACTATTTTTCTTAATACCAAATTATTTTGTTCAAAATAAAACAGAGAGAAGAAATTTGTAAGTAGAATAAAATTGAAAATAATGATTTAATATTCCATATATTATTATATGAGGTGTTTAAAGAATAAGTGTGTAGGTACTTTGTAAAATATATCATAAATGTTTGTAATAAATTAACATTCATCAAAATTGGGCGTGATTTCAAAAGAAATTATACAATAAATACCTAATTGATAGATATTTTATTTAAAAACAACAAAAATTGTTGGATTTCTTTTTCATGACGCAAACAATTTTTTTAATAAGCTAGTAGTATATAAATATACATTAATAGATAAATTTTAAAATTTTTATCATTTCGGTATTTGCAAGCACAATAAAAATATTTGTTTCTCTTTTAATAATAACACCTATTTTGAACACTATATTCGGATAAGTCTAATTTTTCTAAGTAATTTTAATGTGTCAACTGTAGTTCTAAATTAAAAATTGACTGAATAAAATCCATTTTCTTTTTAATAAATGAATACATTTTTACGATTCATTTAAGTGCATAAAATCATTTATAATCATTTATTATTGATTAATTTAATGTTTTTACGTATTTTTTTTTTTACATAAGTGTTATAAATAAACTTTACATAAAATGGGTATATATATTGTACATTTTTTCATTAAATATTAATTTTAACAGTTATTTTATAATAAAACAATTGATTAAATAAATTGCTCAAAGTTTCCTCCATTATTTTCTACGCATAATTGAATCATTGGAGATATCCTCAATGGGTTGTTGATATTATTTGACTTTCAGTTATATTATTACACGCAACCACAATTTTGTTTTTTAAATCTGCAAGATTGAAGGATCTTTGTAAATTATCATTTTTAAATTCCCCATGAGAAAAAAAGTAGAGTAATATTTGGAGATCTTGCTTGTCATAGAATAGGTCTTATTTATAACACGTATATATATAAAAAAAAAGGCTTTCATTCAGTCAATTTTTAATTTAGAACCACAGTTATACATCAAAATTACTTAAAAAAAATTAGACTTATTTGAATACATTGTTCAAAATGGGTGTTGCTATTAAAAAAACAATAAATATTTTTACTGTGCATGCAAATACCGAAATAATAAAAGTTTTGAAATTTATCTATTAATGTGTATTTATATACTACTAGCTTGTAAAAAATTCAATTTATTCCAATTTAACCGGCTGAGAAATTCAGTGTTCCTTAAATTGGCGAACACACAGTATATATCAACTAGATACAATTTATAATAAATTAATAACATTTTAGTTAAAATTTGCAGCACTTTAAAAAAATATATATATAAACTAACCAATAAGAACTAAAATAAATTTTTTTTTTTTATGTTTAGAAAATGGATAAAAATGAAGGAGGCATTAAGTTTATAAATTGCATTGGTTCAGACATTAATATTTGGAAAAAAAGACCACATGATGAAGATTTTGAATTTGAAACTTGTTTACTGTATGATGAACCTGAATATCATTTTGATGATCCAAAAGATATTAATACTAGTTGGACATTTTTTGACCATATAACAAAAAGATATTTATTAGGGAATGGAAAAAAAATTGTTCATTACCAAAAATATGAATGTCCACCAATCATAGTTAAAATTAAGACTCCATTATATACTTTGCAAGAACTTTGCACGTATATAATTTCTAGAAGACTTTTAGCTAACAACATTAGAGATGTAGCAATTGATGAATTGAAATTACCCCAACAGTTAAAAGTTGATATAAAGAGTTGTGTAAATGATTTAAAAAAAAAATATGAAGAAGGTGGAGATGATTTCTGTTATCATGAAGAATATGGTTATTAAAATCTTTTAAACAGATTTTATCCATATTTTATTTTACATACTTTTTTATTTTTAAATATTATATTCAATTATTATTATTTTTTTATTATTAAATTATATTTAATCATGGAATTTTAAAATAAAAATATTTAATCCTCAAGTTGTTATTTTTAATACTTGTTTTTATCCTCACTTGAGGCTAATTATTACTCATTATTAATAATATAAGATATATAGTTAAAAATATTTATTAAGTGAAGACTTGTTTTGGTCACAATTCAAAAAATCTTATAATACATTATTATTTTATCTAGGTATTAGAATTTTTAACACTAAGTGTGGGACTAGCAATGAGTAATAACTAAGTCTTTAATAGTATTTTGAATTATATTTTCAGTGAATAAGCTATTAATACACAAATTGTTTTGATAGTTATAACTTGATACAATATGAGTATAATCAAATTAATAAAAGAAAATAAAAACAGACATACTAATAAATTTAAAATTTGAAAAATGAAGAATAACTAAAAATTATATGTACAATTTAACACTTAAAAATAAATATTGAGGTTTAATGATTTTAGTTATTATATTTTTATTATGTATTTGTAATTATTATTATATTTTAAAAAGATATTTGTTTTTGAAGTAAAAAAATGATTTCATAAAAAACCAGCTATACTTAAAAATGTCTGTTTTTAACATTTATTTTATGCAATTATAGTAATTTATAATTTAGAACTTTCATACATACCAGCTATATTCACTTTTTTATTTGAAAGACATTTTAAATTAAAAATCAAAATATGTTTTTTCTATGTACGAAAATAAACATTTTAAACTCAATATATTCATTTCTTAATTTAGAATTTAAAGGGTTAAAACTTTTCTTTTGTTCTAAATCAAGTCGTAAAAGAAAATCAAGTTTTAAAGATACATAAAATTAAAACAGTTATAATAATAAAAAATAAACAGTAAAAATTTAAACTTATGTTATTTTTTTTTATAAAGTTGAAACTAAATTAAAACAAATATTTTTTAATTTTGATTTTGCTTATCTTCAGGAACTTTATTTAACTATTGATAAAAAGAAATAATTTATCCAGAAAACAGTTATTGTTGTATATCATAAAAGTCTATATTAATGTACATATAATTATGTGAATACTCTTAGTAAAATAACTTAAAATTGGTTAAAACATTTTAAAAATTTCATGCTATAATTGATTGCAAATAGTCGTCACAATAAATACTTTCTGGACAGATAAACAACTAAAATATTTAAAAGAAAAATTTCATTATTTTTTTTTTAATATCCTATTTCATCAAAATATATACACTTAATATCTATTAAAAAAATTGGATTAATGTATTTTCAAAAATTTTAAATTTATAATAATTTATATTAAATGTAAAGGCCACAGCTAAATATATAATGCCTGTAAATGGCATGAAATAAAAATTAGTTACTACAAAAATTTTATGTGTACAAAACAATAATAAGTAATATAGAAATGCTTCAATAATTAAAAGAAAAAATTACAAAAACTTTTTTTATTGTTATAAATTTGAAGAATCTCAAATTCATAAAAATTTAACTTCAAACGTTTATAAATAATGAATATGGCTTTACCTAAAATTTATTTTTAGTCTAGCAAAAAAAAAAAAAAGATTAAAAAATCATAAGTATCTATAAATTGCCAAAATATTTTAAAAGTTCTAAAAAATATTAATGTAAATATTTAGTGAATATTTTAAGTATTATTTACTCAGAATCTAAATTGAGTTTCTGATGTATAAAGTGCATAATAATATCACTTTGTAAGTAATTTTTTAATGGGTAAATTCTTTATAAACTGTTCAATTCATCCATAAGATAGAATTATATAAAATATCAAAATTGTAAAAGTTACACATAGTATCATAAAAATAATTTATACTAAATAAATATATACTTTACTTTAACAGAATCAGTACTATTAACATGACCAAGTCTTGTACAAAATTGATGACCCATAACAACCCATTCCTTTTGGATTAATGTTTGTAATCCAACAATGGATCGAAAATAAGAATCTATCATCAATTGGGCTAGACTAGAAATTACACAGCATAAATCACGTCCATCTCGTTCTAAAAGATAAAAATAATAATTCATTATTATTTCCTATATAATTATGTGTTGTTATTATATAATGGATTGTAGAATTTCATAGATATAGAATTTTTATAATTGGAAAGCTATCCATATTTAATCAATTATAATGTAAATTTAAAGTAAAGTTACATAACAACTTATATAGAATCTTGTATTTAATTTTTAAGTTTTTTGACCAAATACATTTTTTTTATCAACATTTATAGAAAAAAAAAAAAAAAATGAAAATTGAAAATGTCTATAAGCATAAAAATAGAAATGTTTTAAAAATTTTAAGCATCTTTAGAGATTGGTTTTACAAAAAAACAATAAAAGGTATGAGGGAAATTTATTATTCTATTTGTGAAAAGAATTATCCAAAATAATTGACTGCAAACATTCTGATCATTATTTTTTTTAAGGTTAAAATTTTTATATATAGTTATAAATTATAAATATATTAAGAAATAATAATGAAATATAATTATTGTATAAGAATATGTCATACATTGCACTATTTTAATTCACGGAGTATACCTAATGTAAATCTTATAAAGTACCATTTCACATTATTCAATCAAAATTAAAATATGAATAATATTAACAGTGATTATTTATTGGTATGGTATATTTAAATTTAAAAATTTAAGTATGCATACCTTGTAACACAACTGACTCATTTCTATTAAGTTTATTAGCAGTTGTTAAAGCAGAACTTAAACAACTTGAAACATATTGCAACCATTTACTGGCTTCCAAAAGTGAATAAAAATGATTATCTTGCACCCAAAACTGCCGCGCACTTTCTATTATAACATATACATTTTTAATATTAACAATGAATATAAATAATTATTTATGAACTATTAGAACAAACCAGGAGCACACAGTTCTCGTAATTTAATAAAACTCTGATTAACATCTTTTGGCAATGGCAAATTTTTGGTTAAATCCATTATAAAAGGTCTAAGACGACCAGGATGCGATTTCCTTACTATTTCTAACATAGCATTTTCTTGAGTTAGATTAGATGGATCCACAACATCTGCCTTTCTAGATAATGTTGCTCCATTTACAGTGCTCCAACACCAAGTTGGTAGTCGTCCATCTCGAAAATGTTGCATTGCTATTCGCAAATGAGTGTCAATAACTGCAGATCCAATAACAATAAACTGTGGCAAGCTATAAACATATTATTTTTCTATAGAAATAATTATAGTTTTATGAAGTATTAACTTACCTTGCAGATAAACGGAATTTATTGTTAGAGGAATTTAAGGTCCAACCAACACATTTGGTACGTTGAAGTTCTTTTTCCCAATCATCTCGACATCTAAATGTAGGTGTTGAATATCTACTTTGAACATTTGGCTCCCTACTTAAAAAATGTAAAATTTACAATTTATGATGTTATTTTTAATTATTAGATAACCCTAAGCCTAGGTTGCATAAAAATGTTAACATTTAATAGTAACTTAAACAAAATAGACCTATTAATGTCACTTAAATTATGTATAAGAGTCCATTACCTTACTATTGATTTATTTGAATATTTTAGTTATTTTTCATGAAATCTAGCATTAAGCTTGAACAATAAAGAAAATCTTATACAGGTCCACACATAGTAAAATAGCATACACTAAGTAAAAACAAAAGATTATTAAACCTCATCTTTCCCTTTGCAGACATAATTATCTTAGTGATTTTTAAAAGCAAACTTTTTTTTTTATCTATATAAGATCCTGTTTTATTTATAATAGAAATTAACCATTTTAATATTTAAACTACTTGAAACATTATTAATATTGTTATAATAAACCTGAAATCTAAATGCTAACCATGTATAATAAAATTAATAATGATTGAATTATGAAGAAGTATCTTATTATATTATGTGTATTAGAAGTCAGAGTTAAATATATAATTATACACATCATAATTTCCTTATTGCACTTTTTTAAAATTATATCAGTAAAAAATAAGAATAAACAAATTTATTAATTCAATTTAGAAAATATACAATTGCAGAAAACATTATCTAGTAATTTATAAAAATCATGCAAATCACAATAATTTAGCACTTTTATTATGGTAGGTCCTATATCAGTTACTCGAAACAGTTGAAGCTACATTTAACAGGTTGATAAGATAATTAAATTCTTCTTTAAAAAATCCTAGATTTAATTAAAACTAGATTTGAATTCTTAACACAATTCTCAAGATTAATTATTATTTTTATTATTCATTTTAGAGCTGGTTGTTAATATCTAAAAACCAAATACAGTTGCATTTTATTTTTAATAATAATCAGTTACCTGTAGTCATAAGCAAACAATAGCTGATGTCTTTTTGGAAATGCATGATGCAATAAAGCATTTGCTAATATTTTACCATGGCCAAGTGGTGAAAATTTAAAACTATATGATAGTGTTCGCATATTCTATTTTCAAAAAAAAATATTTATTTATTATATATTTTAAAATAAAACAAAATATTGTTTCCTTTACTTTGCAGATAATATGTAATCCTTTGACTTTATCATTAAAACGATGACCTATCATTAGTCTTTTTTTTTTGTCCCCTGTTAATAAATAAATAATATCTATATTGGAAAGACATACGTCATACTGACCCAAAAGCAAATTTTCTTGATATGATGTTTCCTGAAACAATTTTTGAATTAAAATACAATGTATAAATAATATTAAATTTAAATTTAAAATTTACTTTTAAATGTTTTTCGTTTGAAGTAACAAAAGAAAGTCTGAAATTTGTAACAAACAAAAAACCTGATATGCCGGTTTTTTGTTCATTAACTGGAGTGAATAATAAAACACTTTGTGCTTCAGCAATTATCATTTCACCTGTAATATTATAATTTATAACAATATATTTTTAATTTTGAAGATATAA